GAAGCAGAAAAATTGTGATGTTTGGACTTTTTTAAAATTAATACTTACATTTTGTGAAAGACATTTTTAAGAGAATTAAAAGACATACTATATATTGATAGAAAATATTTGCCAAACATGTATCTCATATAAAGTATTTGTGTTTGAAATATATAAAAATAATTAAACATTAAAAAAACAATGCTATTTTAAAACTCTTAAAATATCTGAACATCCATCTCTTCAAAGAAGATAGAAGATGACAAGTAAGCATAATGAAATCATCAAATGTCATTAGGAAATTGCAAATAAAAACAATGAAATACCTAATGAGATACCCTATGAGAATGGCTAAACCAAAAACTCACAACACAAAATGTAGTAAAATATATGGAATGCATGAACTCTCATTTATTGTTTTTGAAGATGAAAAATGCTATACCCACTTTGGAAGACAGTTTGACATTTTTATAAAGGTCAACATTATCTTACCATACAATCCAGTAATTATGCTCCCAAGTGTTTACCCAAATGAAACCTTATATCCAGGCAATAACCTGCACATGAATATTTATAGCAGGTTTACCGATAATTGCCCCATTTTGGAAGCAACAAAGATGTTTTCCAGTAGGTTAATGGATTAACAATCTGTCGTACATTTATATAATGGTATATTATTCAATAATAAAAAGAATTGGGCTATCAAGCTACAGAAAGACATGGAAGGAACTTAAGCACACATTACTAAGTGACAGAAGCCAGCTTGGGAAAGCTATATTATTTCAACTATATACCACTCTGAGAAAGGCAAAACTATACAGATAGTTAAAATTTCAGAAGTAGCCAGGGGTTCAGAATGAGGAGTAATGAAGAGTTGGAGCACAAGGAATTTTCAGGGTGCTGAAGCTATTTTGTATAATAATATAGTGGTGGACACATGATACTATATATTTGTCAATATCTGTAGAATTGTACAACAAAAGGAGTCACTAACATAAACCATGAATATTATTAGTAACTCATCAACATTGGTTCATCAACTGCAACAAATATATTATCTAAAATAGGATGTTAATAACGGGAAATTGTGTGTTAGGGGAAAGAAGTATTTGGGAACTCTGTACTTTCTGTGTAACTTCTCTGAAACCCTAAATTGCTCTAGAAAAAAAAACTATTAAACATTTTTTTGAAAGGATACAAAAATACTAATTTGAAGGGATACACGTACTCTGATGTTTATAGCAACATTATCTACAATAAATGGAAATAGTCTAATGTCTATCAACTTATGGATGGATAAAGAAGAGGTGAAATATGTATATAATATATGTATATATATATTACAACTCACAAAACTTTATATATATATGTAATATATATGAAATTATATATATATATGCACATATACATATACATACATACATATAGGGTAGTTCTATTTTGACTCTTTGAGGAACCTCCATACTGTTTTCCAGAGTGACTGCACCAGTTTGCATTCCCAACAACAGTGTAAGACAACGGTTCCCCTTTTTCCACATTGTCACCCACATTTGTTGTTTCCTGTGTTATTAATTTTAACCATTCCGACAGATGTCAGAATATCTCATTAAAGTTTTGATTTCTAATTCTCTGATGATGCGTGATGTTGAGCATCTTTTCATGTGTCAGCCATCTCGATGTCTTCTTTGGAAAAATGACTATTCATGTTTTCTGCCCATTTTTCAACTGGGTTATTTGCTTTTTGGGTGTTGAGTTTTCTAGGTTCCTTACATATTTTTGGGTACTAACCCTTTGTCAGATATATCATTTACAAATATCTACTCCCATTCCATAGGCTGATTTTTAGTTTTGTTGATTGTTTCCTTCACTGTGCAGAAACTTTTTCTCTTGATGAAGTCCTGATAGTTTATTTTAGCTTTTGTTTCCCTTGTCTCAGGAGATGTATCTAGTAAGAAGTTGCTAGTCAAACAGGTTACTGCCTGTGTTCTCCTGTAGGATTTTGATGGTTTCTCATCTCACATTTAGGACTTTCATCCATTTTGAATTTATTTTTGTGTATGGTATAAGAAAGTGGTCCAGGTTCATTCTCCTGCATGTCGCTGTCCAGTTTTCCCAATACCATTGTTGAAGAAACTGTCTTATTCCCATTGTGTATTTATTCTCTCTTTGTTGAAGATTTGTCAGCCTTATAGTTGTGGGTTCATTTCTGGGTTTTCTGTCATATAGACACATTGATCTATATGTCTGTTTTTGTGCCAATACCATACTGCCTTGATCACTACAGCTTTGTAATATAGCTTGAAGCCTGGAATTGTGATGCCTCCAGCTTTGCTTTTCTTTTTCAAGGTTGCTTTGGCTATTTGGGGTCTTTTGTGGTTCCATGCAAATTTTATGGGTTTGTTCTAGTTCTGTGAAAAATGCTTGTGGTATTTTGATAGAGATTGCATTAAATGTATAGATTGCTTTGGGTAGTATAGACATTTTAATGTTTGTTCTTCCAATCGATGAGCATGGAATGTTTTTCCATTTCTTTGTGTTACCTTCAAGTTATTTCATCAGTGTTTTATAGTTTTCAGGTTACAGATCTTTTAATAAAAGAAAGGGAAAGAATCATATGTAAGCATCCATTCCTCTTTAAAACATTTTTTAATGTTTATTCGCTTTTGTGAGAGAGAGAGAGAGAGAGAGTAGGGGAGGTGCAGAGAGACACAGAGACAGAGAATCCAAAGTGGGCTCCAGGCTTTGAGCTGTCAGCAGAGAGCCCAACATGAGACTTGAACCCAGGAACTATGATATCATGACCTGGGCTGAAGTCAGATGTTTAACTGAATGAGCCACCCAGACACCCCTGTACAGCATCCATTCTTCATGAAAAACCTCAAAAAGTAGGGATAGAGGGAACATACCTCAACATTATAAAGGCCATATACAAAAGACCCACAGCTAATATCATCCTCAATGGGGAAAAACTGAGAGCTTTTTTTCTATGGTCAGGAACTAGACAGGGATGTCCACTCTCACTACCATTATTTAATATAGTACTATAAGTCCTCAAGTCAACAATCAGGTAACAAGAAGAAATAAAAGTCCTCCAAATTGGCAAAGAAGTCTAACTTGAACTATTTGCAGATTGTATGATACTCTATGTAGAAAACCCAAAAGATTCCACCAAAAAGTTGCTAGAACTGATACATAAATTCAGTAAAGTCACAGGATACAAAATTAATGTACTGAAATGTGTTGCATTTCCATACACCAGTAATGAAGCAGCAGAAACAGAAACCAAGGAATCGATCCCATTTACAATTGTACCAAAACCATAAGATATCTAGGAATACACCTAACCAAAAAGGTAAAAGATCTGTACTCTGTTATATCGTTTTTAAAAACAGCTCAGTGAACTCCAAGCACAATAGGATTAAAAAAAATAATTTGGGAAGTGGAAAGATACAAGTGAAAAAAAATGTGACTCTAGGTTATTTCTCCAGCACCTAACTTTTAATTCCTAATAGTTAACCTGATCTTTTCTCAAATACTATTCACATTGCCTTTTGTTTATTTGAGGATCCTTTGCTTCCTCAATTCAAATGAGCAAATCTTTCTTATATATACCAGTTGGAGAAAGATCCAGAGAAGTTAAAATACATCTGTTAATGTTCGCCCATGTTTTATTTATTTGTTTTTGCCATAGATCTTATTACATTCTCAACTGGTTGTTACTTAATTATTGAAAACTAGTTCTACCAAATCCGACACATTTCATTTTTGTAATGCTGTAGCAGGTCACCACCTTTATACAGATTGCAGTGTTGCTATATTTGGATTGCCAAGGTCACAGTGCAACATTAACTATTTATTGACTCAGCCATTTTTCCAAAGAAACACTTCCATCTGGATGACTAGCTCATGACAGGTTTCCAAATCTAGGTGCATGCAGTTAGAAACAATTTCACAAAACTTTAGACCCTGTAGCTGACCTTACTTGATGATTCTTAAGTGTTCCTTTTTCAGTATAAACTGTCCTTTAGCCATGTTCATATATTTTTCCTGTAATTGGATCTAGTTGTAGTTTTTATTTTTTTTTTATTTTTATTTTTTTTAAATTTTTTTTTTCAACGTTTATTTATTTTGGGGACAGAGAGAGACAGAGCATGAACGGGGGAGGGGCAGAGAGAGAGGGAGACACAGAATCGGAAACAGGCTCCAGGCTCTGAGCCATCAGCCCAGAGCCCGACGCGGGGCTCGAACTCACGGACCGCGAGATCGTGACCTGGCTGAAGTCGGACGCTTAACCGACTGCGCCACCCAGGCGCCCCATAGTTGTAGTTTTTAAATCAAGCAAAAATTTCAAATCACATAAACACTCGAATGAAAAGAGACCAAGTATCAATCCTGGCATTCCTGCAAATTTAACCATTTCCTCCTCCCCAGTAACAATGTCTTCGTGCTAACGAGACCTGGGAAACCACTTTTTTCCCTTTAATCTACAAAATATCTTGTTATTCTTTTCCACTACAGATGCATACTTTTTTTTTTTTTACAATTAAATAATATGAAAGGGGCATAAAATATTCTTAGGTAAGTCAAAGATTTTCTGCTCCTTGCTAATTTTCTCTGACAATGGAGGCCATGGTTTGTAATGTAACCTGTGAGGAAAAAAATGTTATGTTCCACATCCCTAGGTATACCCTACAATATGATGATGATTTTAGTATAAACTTGAAAGTTATATTATTATCATACACTCTCCAGTATATTTTATTTTAACCAAAGACATAGTATTGTATGGAAAGGGCAGTGGTTAAAAGATTATGATATGTAAGTTTGTGCATCAATTTTGTCATTATCTAGATACACAATATATGGAAACTTAATGATTGCTAATATACCTTCCAATAATAAAGTTTGCTGATTTGGCAATACAAATATTTTATTATAATTCTTATTATTTAATAACAAGTAGATAGTTCTACCTTAGTAGAGTTACCTTATGAAGTGTTTTGATGTTCTTATTTGTATAGAAACTGATATAGAACACTTGAAGGATGCCATTGAAAGAAGTATATTGGTGAAGGAAAAGAAGATACAATCAAAGAGTCTCCCTGGTAAGAACAAGAGTTTTGCAAGTCTATATTTCTGGTTTTAAATGCACTTCTTCGGAGTTTAATGAAGACTGGGTCTATATGAAAATAGTAGCTATATGTTATTACTATACAGATAAAATCTTCATAAATATTCTCATAATTCATTATACTCTGGTGTTTACTAGAAATAAAAATTTAGCTAGATATTAGGAGTTTTAGAAATCATCCATTTAGAAATTAGACCATAAAATAAAATGCTATAGTGGCCTTAAAATATGGTTGGTGAAAGTGTGTCCAATCATATACTATTAATTTTCTATACTTCATGAATATAATAGCAACAAGAATTTAGAATAGTTAATTCATTAGTTACCATTTCCTTCTATTTGATGCCATATTTATGGTATATCAACTGTAACAGAGTACATTGGCTGTGTTATATAGTTTGGAGATTATACTACTGCCTTTACTCATTAACAGCGATGAACATACTGCCATTGCCTGCATATGCCATATATGCATATATATGCATGTACATATGCAATATATACAGATATTTGACTGTATTTTTCATATATATATATATATATAGCCCTGTTAAAAAACATTGTCATCTAAAGGTGACTGTGTCCACATGTCCAAAGGCTTTGTCTTTTGTGAATAACTGTGAAGGGAAGGATATTATTTTAAAAAAGAAAGCATGGAAATACAGTAACTGAAATATTAAAATTCACTAGAACTGCTCAGTAAATTTATGCTGTCAGAAGAAAATGAGTGGAGTGGCTCAAGTGGTTAAGCATCCTACTTTTGGCTCAGGTCATGATCTCATGGTATGTGGGTTCAAGCCCTGCATCCAGCTCTATGCTGACAGCTCAGAGCCTGGAGCCTGCTTCAGATTCTGTGTCTTCCTCTCTCTCTTCCCCTCCCCTGCTCATGCTCTGTCTCTAAAAAATAAATAAACATTAAAAAAGGTTTAAAAAAAAGAAGAAAGAATGAGCAAAACTAAAGTACTGAAATACTACAATAAGAGCTGAGAAATTAGAGCAGAGAATATAATTTGAAACAATGACTTAAAGAGAACTAGATGTTTATAAACAAAATGGTTAAGATCCAACATGGAGAAGTAGGGGAACCCAAAGTTCCTTCCTCCCTCAAACACAGCAGTGTTGAGGCCAAAGGACGTTGAATTCCAAGAGTCTGGGTTACAGAGTGACAAAGACATCTCTAGGGACCCACAGGGACAACCTGGATGGGCCATAGATGTGTGATTGCGAACTGGGGGAGATAAAATGGGCTGTGTAGGCAAGGATTGGAGAAAGTGTAGGACTGTATCTGGACAAGAACAAAACCATGGAACAGAACAGAGAAAGATCCAATCTCTAACTGCAGGGCTTTCTCTGGACTGGGGCTGGCTGCCCTGTTCACCCACCTGGGGAGGAGGGGAGCCAGCCCCAGGCTTAGTAACTAGTTCACAGGCACAGTCTGCAATGGAAGAAAGCAATCCCCTCCCTGGAGTGATGTGGCAAGAAGGTATATAACCATTCAAAGGACAAAGACTGCCTGCGCCTTTCAGCCAGAGGCCATATACAGGTGGTGTGGAGCAGCACTTCCCCAAAACTGGGGCACTCGGAGGGAGACCCTTTAAGACATCAGGGTTTAAGTCCAGGCAAGTGCCAGTAAGGTGTAGGAGTTGGTGAAGTGGGACAAACCGCCTGAAGTGGGGCAGCATGAAGCAGCTTTCCCCTGAACCAGGGCGCATGGAGTGGGATCCATTAAGACATCGGGGTTTAAATCACAGCCAAGCACCAGGGAGGTGTAGGAGTTGCTATCCCAGGACTACTTCAATGAACAACTCAAAGCACACTTTGTGGAGGGTCCAAAACATTACTACAAGTACGGAGATAAAGCAGCCAGAGTCACAACAACAGAGAGCAAGTAACACACTCCAAAAAACACCTCCTGAAGGGACAAGCCTTGGACAGTGTATAGCCCCTCTTTAATATACTAGTGTTCCCAGGTGCAGGGCACATAACAAGCTTTTAAAACACATAAGAGACAGAAAACTAGCCAAAATGATGAAATGGAGGAATTCTCCTCAAAAGGAATTCCAGAAAGAAATGAAAGCTAAGGAATTGATCAAAGCAGATATAAACAATATAACTGAACAAGAATTTAGAATAATAATCATAAGATTAATCCCTGGGCTTGAAAAGAGCATAGAAGACAGCAGAGAATCTATTGCTGCAGAGATCAGGGAACTAAGAAATCGTCATGATGAATTAAAAAATTCTGTAAATGAGGTGCAAAATAAAGTAGAAGCAGTGACAGCAAGAACTGTAGAGGCAGATGGGAGATTAAGTGAAATAGAAGATAAAATTATGGAAAAAGATGAGGGTGAGAAAAAGATAAAAAATTCTAGACCACAAGGGGAGAATTAGAGAACTAAGTGATTCAATGAAACAGAATAAAATCCATATCAGAGGAGTTCCAGAAGAAGAAGGGAGAAAGAAAGGGGCTGAAGGTGTACTTGAACAAACCATAGCTGAGAACTTCCCCAATCTGGGGAAGGTAACAGATATTGAAATCCAAGAGGCACAGAGAACTCCCTTCAGATGTAACTTGAATTGATCTTCTGCATGGCATATCATTGTGAAACTGGCAGAATAGAAGGATAAAGAGAATTTTTTGAAGCAGCTAGGGGATAAACAGGACTTAACATACAAAGGTAGACACATAAGGGTAGTAGCAGACCCATCTACTGAAACGTGGCAGGCCAGAAAGGAGTGTCAGGAAATTTTCAATGTGGTGAATAGGAAAAATATGCAGCCAAGAATCTTTTATCCAGCAAGCTTGTCATTCAGAATAGAAGGAGAGATAACGGTTTTCCTAGAAAAACAAAAACTGAAGGAATTCATCACCACTAAACCAGCCCTACAAGAGATCCTAAGGACTCTGTGAGTAGAATGTTGCAAAGACCACAAAGGAACAGCGACATCACGATAAGCACGCAACCTACAGAACACAATGATTCTAAATCCATATCTTTCAATAATAACACTGAATGTAAATGGACTAAATGCTCCAATCAAAAGACATAGGGTATCAGAATGGATAAAAAGATAAGACCTATCTATTTGCTACCTACAAGAGACCCATTTTAGACCTGAGGACACTTTCAGATTCAAAGTGAGGTAATGAAGAACGATCTATCATGCTACTGAAAGCCAAAAGAAAGCTGGAGTAGTCATACTTATATCAGACAAACTATATTTTAAACTAAAGACTGTAAAAGGGATGAAGAAGGGCATTATATAATAATTATGGGCTCTATCCACCAAGAAGAACTAACAGCTATAAATGTTTCTGCATTGAATTTGGAAACACCCAAATATATAAAATAATCACAAACATAAGCAATCTTATTGGTAAGAATGTGATAATTGCAGGGAACTTTAATACTCCACTTATAACAATGGACAGATCCTCCAGATAGAAAATCAATAAATAATGGCCCTGAATGATACACTGGACCACATGGACTTGACAGATATTCAGAACTTTTCATCCAAAGGCAGCAGAATATACATTCTTCTAGAGTGCTCGTGGAATATTCTCCAAGATAGATCACATACTGCTTCACAAAATAGCCTCAGTAAATACAAAAGAATTGAGATCATACTGTACACGCTTTCAAATCACAATGCCTTGGAACTTGAAATCAACCACAGGAAAAAGTTTGGAAAACCTCCAAATTCATGGAGGTTAAAGAACATCTTACTAAAGAATTAATGGGTCAACCAGGCAATTAAAAATAAATTAAAACATATATGGAAACACATGAAAATAAAAACACAGCAATCCAAACCCTTTGGGATGCAGCAAAGGCAGTCGTAAGGGGAAAATACATTGTAGTACAAGCCTATCTCAAGAAACAAGAAAAATCCAAATACAGAATCTAACAGCACACTTAAAGGAACTAGAGGCAGAACAGCAAAGAAAACCCACGGCCAGGAGAAGAAGGGAAATAATAAAGATCAGACCAGGTATAAACAATATATAATCCCCAAACACAGCAGAACAAATAAATGAAACTAAGGGGTGTTTTTTTGAAAAATAAATGAAATTGATAAACCCCTAGCCCGACATCTCAAAAAGAAAAGAGAAGGGAGCCAAATATATAAAGTCACAAATGAAAATGGATTTATCACAACCATCCCTCAGAAATACAAGAAATTATCAGAGAATACTATGAAAAATTACATGCAAACAAACTGGACAACCTGAAGAAATGGACAAATTCCTGGACATCCACACACACCAAAACTCAAACAGGAGGAAATAGAAAATTTGAACACACCCATAACTAGTGAAGAAATTGAATCAGTTATCAAGAATATCCCAACAAATAAGATTTCTGGTCCAGATGGCTTCCTAGGGGAATTCTACCAGACATTTAAAGCAGAGTTAATACCTATTCTTCTCAGGCTGTTCCAAAAAAATAGACATGGAAGGAAAACTTCCGGACTCATTCTATGAAGACAGCATTACCTTGATTCCCAAACCAGACAGAGACCCCATAAAAAAAGGAGAATTACAGACCAATATCCCTGATCAACATGGATGCAAAAATTCTCAACCAGATACTAGCAAATCGAATTCTACAGCATATAAAAAGAATTATTCACCATGATCAAGTGGGATTCATTCCTGGGCTGTAGGGCTGGTTCAGTATGTGCAAATCAATCAATGTGATACATCACAACAGTAAAAGAAAGGATAAGAACCATATGATACTGTCAATAGATGCAGAAAAAGTATTTGACAAAAAACAACATCTTTCTTAATAAAAACCCTCAAGAAAGTTGGGATAGAAAGAACATACTTAAATATCATAGAAGCCATATATCAAAAGCCCACAGCTAATATCATCTTCAATGGGGAAAAACTGAGGGCTTTGCCCCTGAGATCAGGAACACAACAGGGATTTTCACTCTTAACACTGTTGTTCAACATAATGTTGA